TGAAAAGCAGAGGAGCCACGCCCCAGAGGAGAAGCCGGCCGAGTTCTGGTATCTTGCTGCAGCTGGTGTTGTGAATCAGGCCGACGAGCAGCGCATCCTCTTACCCGGCTATTTCACGACACCAGGGTTGCATCATACCCATTCTCTCCAGGCGAGCCTCGTGGGACCAGGTCAGCTGGACACAGGACATGGGGAGAGGGTGGGGTGCAATGTCTGCCAAAGTGCAATCTCTGCCACCTACTGGATCGCAGTTGGACTGTAGCTAGAATTACCTGGGGAATTTAAAAAAATACCAATGCAGTCAGCTGGGCATGGTGCACGGCCTGTGATCCCAACATTGGGGAGGCTGAGGCAGGAGGGGGTCGCAGCAAGTTCAAGGCCAGCTTGGGCTACATAGTGAGCTCAATGCAAGCCTGAATTACATAGCGAGACCCTGCCTCAAAAAACAAAAAAACAACCCGCTCCCAAACCCCAGTGCTGCTTCTCAGCCCTTCTCTACCCAGTCCGTGGTAGGTGTCAGTATCAGCCTTTGTTTTGGTCTTTTTTGGTATCAGGGATTGAACTCTGAACCTTGTGCTTGCGAGAGAGGCAGCGGAACTACTGAGCTAAATCCCCAGCTAGAATCATCATTTGTTACCAGCCAGGGGGAGTGCAGGACTGAGCTGGGTCATTGGTTTTGACTGCCTTGCACGGTTCACTGCCCCAGCAGGCTTTCCAGAAACAGATGGGGCCTGATGCCCTGGCCCTAGGGACCCCTCCTGTCAGGACTCCCTACTCGGAAAGATGCCTTCATCCCCCCATGGAGTCCCCCACAAACCCTGCCCACACAGATCCACATGCTGCCTTCAGAACACACCTCAGCATCTAGCACTCCACAGTATTTCCTGGCCTGACTGTGCCTGTGCACCTGCCTTGGCCCTGACTGGTCTCCCTCAGTCTACACCAAAGTGATCTTTGAGAAAGATATCTCTGACTGTCATAGAACAAGAAACTTTTAATCCTGGCCTACAAGGCCAGATGTTCCTCTTCTACGTCTCAAACCCCACCTCCTTGGTCCCTCTACTCCAGCCCTGTGGGCCTCCTTGCCCTTTTTGAAGTCATAGTACCCTCCCCTTAAAGCCCCTTAACACCTGTTCAAGTGAGGGTGGCTGCTGTTATTGGAGATTAGCTCAAATTTTTCATCCTCGAGAGGCTTAATAACACCCATCCTAAGAAAAACTATTGCTGGGCCAGGGATTTAGCTAAGTGGTTCCGGCGCCTGCCTTGAAAGTGCAAGGGCATGAGTTTGATCCCCGGTACCCTCTGCTAAGAAAAGAAAAGAAAAACCATTGTTTCCTTAATAGTACTCACCACCAAATGCATTGTAATAATTACTGATTCATTGTTTGTCTTTTCCACTAGAATGTAAGCTCCCAGCGGGCAGGGCTTTTGTCTTGTTCACTGTGGTGCCCTCCTTGCATAGCCCAGGACATGGTATGCAGTAGACATGCAATAAATGTGGCAGAATGAGGAAACAACTAGACCCCTACCAGCCTGATGTCCCACCACTTATTTCACACACACCCGCTCCTATACCACCACAGCACCTTGTCTGCTGCATGACCAAACTCACCTTCCCTGCTCCCCTTTTCTCCTGGGCAGCCTCCCTCCTCTGCTGGCTGGCTGCATCATCTCCTTGATGGCTGTCTGCCAGCCTACGCTCCAGGTCCAGGGCCTCATATGCAGGAAGAGCATAATAATTGCAGAGGTGCCTCTGTGACCACAAAGACAGGAGGCCCAGAGATCCAGAGATTGTTGTGGGACCTTCTCTCCTCTCCTATTCTCCCTTCCCTTTCCCTCCTCTCCTGCCCCAGAATCTGGGAGGTTTGTGCTAGGACTTTTCCTGACCTCTTAAGTCTTTCCACACCTTGCCTGCTTCATTCTGCTTCCTTGTGGGAGCCAGGGAAGGAGGGGCCCTGTGTCACTCAGGGGCTGACCTGGATGGGCTTGATGTAGTTGTCATTTCTGCTTTGCTGCTGCAGATACTGAGAATCACCCAGGAATCTCAGATCTGCAGGCCTCTGGAGGGTTCTGAAAGCTAAATTCTGGAAGGTTTGGGCATGCTGTGACTTACCCAGGCCAGAAGAGTGATCATTTCTCAATTAAAGTTCCATTCAAATCCAAGATTTGCTTGGGATGGGGGGCAGTGCAGGGGTCTGTGCTTTGGGATGAGGTGTCAGAGTCCCTTTAGCTTATCCTACTGATAAGCCCTTCAGGGGTCCTGCTTAAACCTCATCCCACCCCAGGGAGATGCTGAGGGGCTGGAAAGGGTTCTTGAGGTGGCACTTGCTCCCCTCCAAGGCTGGCATAGGCCAGGGAGGGGAAGTGACTTGCTCAAGGTCACCCAGAAAATTTGTGGCCCCAACTCTGGCCATAGCCCCAGTGCTACTAGAAACAGTCCTGGCCCCTTCTTCCTCAAGATCTTAATCAAGAATTTTCCACAGCGGCCCAGGGCAGAATGTAGGCATGGTGTAAGGGATTGTGGCACAGCTGTGATTTTTGCCAGTCAATTGGCAATTTAAGAGTGAGAGAATGATAAGATCTGCCCCGAGGGCCCCACTGAGCAGAACGAGTGAGTAACTCTGTAGGGAAAGGTCCCATAATCTCCCCCAGTCCGGGATGGAGCTTGCGGAGACTGGAACGTTGCCTGTGGCAAGGACTCAGCCCTGCTGGCAGCTGGCATGGGGGCTGAGGACATCCCTACAGACAGAGTAGCTAGAATCCAGGGTAGAAAGGGGAAGGGGAGTCTGGGTGTTATTAAGAGGAGCCCTCAGAAGGTTCTTTTGAGAAAATTAATGTGTGGTACATTTTTAAAGTTTGCAAAAGGTACAAAGTGACCATCCTTTTGGGTTTGTCATTGAGGTCTAGTTTCTCTCGGCTCACTTCTTAGTGTCCAATGAGAGCAGAACCCCAGGCTGCAGGAATCCAGCAAAGCCCCAGCATGTCCCTCCCCAGGGCAGTGCTGTGAGCCTAGGGTGTCTACACAGCCACTCTCCACTCTCCCTGGTTCTGGGTCCCCTCATTACACCTTCAATAGCATTTCCTGAGCACCTCCTTGGTGCTGTCTTAGTTGCTTGCCAGATCTCTGCCTTTGTGAGCTTCTATTCTACAAGCTGGATGAAATTTAGAGCCCTCTCCCCAGAAAAATGCACTGAGGTTTGAAAACTTGTCTGTAAGGTGGGTGCTGGGGCACATGCCTGTAATCCCAGCTCCTTAGGAGGCTGAGACAGGAGGATCACCAGTTCAAGGCCAGCCTTGGCAACTTAGCAAAAGCCTGTCTCAAAGTAAAAAATAGAATGGGCTGGAGAAATAGTTCAGTGGTACAGCATCTTTGGGTTCAATCTCTAGTACAGTACTGCAAAAAAAAAAAATTGTCCATGATTTTGTGGCTCCAGCACCCTCATCTTGCAGGGTGTCTCCCCAGCACAGTTTGCTGCACTAAGTCCAAGCATTTCCACCTGCCACCTTCTGCCTGGCACAACCTCTGCCCCTGGTCCAGAGCAGCGAGGGGCAACACGAACCAGGTGGACCTCTCTAAGCTCCCGTGTTGATGCCGACTCGCCGTAGGAAGACAGGGAGCCCAAGGCCTCTGAGCCTCTCAGAGTAAAGCTCCCTGGGGGAACTTCTGTGAGTTCTGAGGGGCAAGGCTAGGAAAGGCAGGAAAGTGAGTCCCGCATCTTTCCCTGGGGGCTGGCTGGAGCCTGAGCATATCCTGAGGGATCAGGTGCAAGGGCTGCCAGTGGCTTTCTGGTCTTCTTCCACAGACTCCAGGAGGAGCCTCTCACCCTCTAAGACTCCTGTCAGAGCCCCTGCAGGAAGTCGTCCCTGCTTGTTTCCACCCTGACCCTCTTCCTGCTGCTGCCCTCTCTGCACAAATGGGCTGGGATGTTTCCAGATCCAGTCCCCCACTAACTCTGCAGCACAGTGAGTGTAGACACAGTTCCCGGTCTGTCCCTGGCTCCCACTTCCACCTCAGCATGATGGGTGGTCAGTAAAGGCCCTGGAGAGGTGAAATGAAGTCAGTGATTTTCCGTGAGCTTCTAGGCCACCCATCCCTTGGGCTCTGTACCAATGGGCAGAAGGAAAGGAGGTAGCACTGGGCAGAGAGAGGAGTAGGCCTCGGTGTAGATTCCAAGCCTCAAGGGGAACTTGGAGCTGGGTGGGCCTTTAGAGTCAGGACAGGGAGCCAGGCCTTTCTATTCCTCTCTTAGGGGAAAAGTGGCCACAGCTGGGGTCATGGACGTAGAGAGTGCACTGAGAACTCTCACAGAAGCTGGGGGAATATGCCCTTCATTTCTGGGGACACCGCAAGCATCCACTCCCTAATAGATAATCTCTCAAAACCCTGATCCACCTCTTTCAACCGCCTACAGCTCAATTCAGTGGCTGTCCCAGGAAGCGTGCTCATGTGTGGTGTGATACCGGCCTTGGGACTTGTCTGTCCATTGGGGGCTGCGGTCTGATTTGAAGCCATTTGTCCACATACACTAGATGTCCCCAGAACTACCCTAGGACATTGGGGAAAAGATTGGAATGTGAGAGTTCCTTTTCACATAGATCTGCATCTTTTTAAATACCATTCATCTTCTCAAAAGTATTCCATAAAAAAGCCCCACGTTCTACAGTGAGAGGTTTTTGAATCTGCAACAGATCAGATGGGACCCATAGTAAGTCCTCAGACCATCCGGGCATCCTCGAGGTCCCTCTCAGGTCCCACAGGGTCCTTCTGGGGACTGCTCCTTTCTGGGTTCTGGTTGGAGGTCTCTGCTGCCCCCAGACTCAGAAGAACTACAGGACTCAGCAAGTATCTGGCTCCAGGCAAATCCAGCCTTGCTGTGACAGGCAGGTCCCTGCGTCCCCCGTCCAACAGTGGGCAGGACAGGAGGGGCATGTGTTCCGATCCCATCTGTCCAGGGTCACTGCTCACCAGCTGTGGGCGGTTCAGGCCACACTCCCGCCTTTCTCTCCGCTGCAGACTCGGCCTATAAAGCCACCCTGCGTGTCCTTGCCAACCCTGGACCCCTCCCTTGATACCCGAGCCACAATGGCAGAGCTGCCCACAACGGAGGCGCCCAGGGACCCTGCTCTGTGCAGCGGGCGCTTCACCATCAGCACCCTCCTGGGGGGTGACGAGTCCCTGACAACCGCAGCCTATGACACCAGCCACCCCAGCCACCTGACCCAAGGCAGCACCCTCTACCTGCGCACCTTCGGGTACAACACCATCGACGTGGTGCCGGCCTATGAGCACTACGCCAACAGTGCCCTGCCCGGAGAGCCCCGGAAGGTCCGGCCCACACTGGCCGACCTGCACTCCTTCCTCAAGGTAAGCACATCTGAGGACACTGGCCACTTCCTTGCTGTGTGACCTAACATCTCTGAGCCTTGGGGCTGTCACCTGAGCCGTGAGGGTGGCTGAGGGTCTTTCTGAAGGACCGAGAGGCCCAAGTGAAGTAGTAGGAGAGGGAGCGGTGAAGCTCTGGGCACGTGCTGTGCTTCTTGTCTGGTCACTGGCAACCCGAAGGTAGATTGGGCTGCTAGAGAGAAAGTGAGCCTCCCGTCAATGGCAACATGCAAGCAGAGGCTGCACACCTCTGAAACGGAGGTAGAGGGCAGGAAAAGTGTTCTTGGAGAGCGGCTTGCTTGTCACAACCAGGAGCCTGATTGTCACAGCCCCTGCGGAGCCTCAGTTTCCCCACCTGACACCAACCATTCTTGATTCTGGGGCCGAGACTTTAAGTGGACAGGACCCCTCCCCTCCCTGAGCAGACTTCACTCCTGAACCCCAAGGGCTACACACAGCCCTGTGTTCCACCCAGGGATGCTGAGCTGAGGGGCCAGGAAGAAAGCCCCGGAGGAGGCTGTGGTCACTTGGACACACACAGGAGGAGACAACCTTGCTGGGGTGGAGGGCTGGATTCCAATCCCCACTCTGCCAGGGACCTACCGCGTGGTCCTGGACATGGTGTCACCCAGAGGGGTGACCCTGCCCCACTCCTCTCAGGCTGTGTGCCTACCTAGGCAGGTCCCAGGCTCTGCAGCAGCAAGCAGGTGCCATGATCAAAACGGCCCAGAATGCCCGGCCTCCCATGTCGCCTGTCCCTGCTGCCGCTGTGGGCTTCTCGAAGCCTGAGAGGAGCACCACACCAGTGAGTCTGTCTGGGGCCGCCTGGACGTGGCACAGTGGGGCAGGCAGGGGACTGGCTGCAGAGATCTGACCTGCAGCACCCAGGCCCTCCTGACTTGTGGTCTCTGCACCCCAGCAGGATGGGAGCCACCTGCACGCCCTGGCCTTCGACAGCCGGCCCAGCTGTGAGCTGACTGACGGGCTGGTGGAGGACGAGGCGGGCACCCACAGTGAGAAGAGCCCGGGGGAGCCTGTGCGCTTCGGCTGGGTCAAGGGAGTGATGGTGAGTAGGGTGTGGGCCCATGAGCAGACTGCGCTCCATCCAGGCTCAGCTGTGACTTGGGGCTCTAGTGTACAAGGTAGACCCAAGGCCCAGCCCAGGCCTCAGTTTCCCCTATCTACATGTGGCTTCGAATTTTCTCTGACTCGAGCACCCCAACACCCCATTTATGCCCTAGGTTGAGACAGACCTGAGGCCAGAATCTGCTTGGTCACACTAGTTGTATGGCAATGAGTAAATCACTTAGCAATGTACTCCTCACCTGTGAAATGAGTATTAAATGAGTTAATAAATGTAAAGCCTTTGGGTCAATGCCTGCCAGGCAGTTATATGAAAAGATTGTTTGCCAGGCTTGGTTGGTGTGTGCCTGCAATCCAGGTACTTGGGAGACAGATTCAGGAGGATTGCAAATTCAAGTTCAGCCTGGGCCATTTAGTGATACTTTGTTTCAAAATTAAAAATAAATGTAAAGGATATGGAGGTAGCTTAATGGAAGAGGGCTTGCCTAGCAAGTACAAGGCCCTAGGTTCAATCCCCAGTACCACGGGTGGGTGTGGGGAAGAAAAAGGAAAAGGAAAGAAAAGGGAAAATGGAAATGTTTTCCAAAAGAACCACCAGAGGCCAGCACGAAACACATACAGTAAAGCCACAACTGGTGTGTGTTGTGTTGTTTTGGTTTTCATTCTGCATGATGTGAAGGGAAGTTTACAGCAGGAATAAGCTCCCAGATGGTAAAGAATCAAGTGAACTCTGCTTTGGAAGACACTACGGGGTTTTGCAAGGGGGGGCTGCACATGGTGTGCAGAAATCTTTGGCCTGACTCTGGGAAGCAGGAAGCCCAGTTCTGATCTTAATGCTGTCAGCTGCTAGCTGCCTTGGGAACTCTGCCACTTGGTGTGGCCAAAGACCACACCAGGGAACCACTGGGAACATTAGCCTCAGTTTCGGCCTTTGACTTTGTTTTACAGTTGGAAACTGAAGTCACAGCAACCTGAGCTCTGATTTCTGCTTGTAAGTGGGGTGTTGGCTCAGCTGGTATTTGTTGAGCTCCCCCAAAATGCCAGGTCCCAGGTCACCAGTGGTCTCTACCGCCATGACTAGGTCTGGTGGGCACAGGATCCTGGCTTGGACTAGGAGGACCTATGGTCTTGATTGCAGCCCACCCTTAGGCCTCAGTGGGAGGATAGGAGGATGGAAGGGAGGTGGGTCTGCCCTAGTGAACTAGAGGCCCTAGCCAGTCGGCATGGAGCACAGAGAACTGGTATCTCCTACACCTATGAGGTCAACGCCATGCCATGACCAGCAGCAGGGACTTATGTGCTTGGCCATGGGAGGTGTGGCCTGCCCAGAGAGCCTCTGACTCCACTCTCCTCCCAGATCCGCTGCATGCTCAACATCTGGGGTGTGATCCTCTACCTGCGGCTCCCCTGGATTACAGCACAGGCAGGCATTGGTGAGTGCCAGCCTGGGAGAGGAGGGAGGCTATGCTTGAGTCCTTGTCCCCTGTCACTAAGGCCCCTGGGAACAGGTTTGACCTTGGGCTGCAGAGACCACACATCAGGCTGCTCCTCCCTTACACATCCTGGAGCCCCTGAAGGATAAGCAGGGCGGGGGATGTGACAGAGAGCCATTGGACAGAGAGTCAGCAGGGCTCTCCTGAGCTGTCTACCCTCAGGAAGTCACAACCTCTCCGAGCCAATTCCTGGTGCAGATTTGCAGTTAGGGACTTGCACTCTGGAGGGCCAGGGTTCAGGTGAGAGCTCTGCCTCAGGTCATGTGACCTTGGGCAAATTTGTTATCCTCTGTGAGCCTTGTTTTTCTCATCAGCGAAGTGGGGCTGGTGACAGCAGCTGGCTCAGGAAGTCCTTGTGGGGTTTATAGGATGCAGGAGAGCCAGCACAGATTTGGTGCCCAGAGGTGCTCATCATGGTAACTGAAACTTTATTTTTATCCTTTGTTTTTAAAGGAGGGTCCCTTCCCTTCTACACCTAGCAATCCTTTTCATGTTGGCTCACAAGCTCCTAAGCTATTCAGAAAATGCCGGGAGGTAGGCAGTAACCCATTTCTCAGATGACAAAACCGAGGCTTAGAGAGGGGTGGCGAGTTAGTGGGTTCCTCCCCCTGGGAAGCACCCTCACTGAGCCTTGGGGCTCCCACATTCACCCTGTACAGTCCTGACCTGGATCATCATCCTGCTCTCCGTCATGGTGACCTCCATCACCGGTCTCTCCATCTCAGCCATCTCCACCAACGGCAAGGTCAAGTCAGGTGCGCCCCACAGCCCTCCCTTGTGGGCTCCCGACCCATAGGGCCCCTGGCTGCCCCTGTGGTTGCAGGTGAGGGTTCCAGGCAGGCTCCCCCTACCACAGGATGGACTCAGCCACCTCCTGCCCTTGTCCCCCAGTCACCCTTCCGAGCCCAGCCTGGCCAGCTGATTCCTCTGGTTTTCGTGGCTCCTAACTCTGGCCCTGGCAGGTGGCACCTATTTCCTCATCTCCCGGAGTCTTGGCCCAGAGCTGGGGGGCTCCATCGGCCTCATCTTTGCTTTTGCCAATGCTGTGGGTGTGGCCATGCACACGGTGGGCTTCGCGGAGACTGTGCGGGACCTGCTGCAGGTGAGGCAGGGCTGGGCCCCGGTCTGCCCCACTGTGCTCCTCCCCATTGGGTCAGCCTTCCTTCCATCAGGAACCAAGGCCACAGTCTGGACACTGCAGGTGACAATGATAATCTCATCGAATCAAAACCATCCCCATAAGACCATGTGCTGCCCCAAGGCCATGTTGTCCAGGTCCATGCAGAGCTGCCCTGGGGATCTGAAGATCCTTGGGTTTGGGTCAGAGGGACCTCAGTGAAGAAGAGCCTGGAGGCATGTGCTCTTCAGAGGGTGGCACACAACCAACCCACCCCTCCCAGGAGTACGGCACGCCCATCGTGGACCCCATCAATGACATCCGCATCATTGGCGTGGTCACCGTCACTGTGCTCCTGGCCATTTCCCTGGCTGGCATGGAGTGGGAGTCCAAGGTGAGGAACAGAGTCATAGCCCTGGGCCTGAGCTTCAAGTTCTGCGGCTGTGACAGAGACCCTAACTAACAGCACCTTCAGACAGAGAGACTTTATTTCTCTCTTATGTAACAGTCCAGGTGGGAAAGGTCGTCCATAGGGGTTAGACACCTGGACACCCTCCATCCTGTGGCTCCTCCATCCTTCCCAGGTGGCCACCATCACGATGTCCCTGGTCCAGGTAGAGGGAAAGGGAAGAAGGGGGAAATAAAAGGGAGTGAATTTCCTTTCCCTTTCCCTTTTTTGTACAAGCGGAGAGTTGTCTGTATCACTCCTGCTTGTGTCCAGTTGACTATATCTTGGTCATGCAGCCCCTTATAACTGCAAGGGAGCCTGGGTAGTAGGTCTTCCTTGGAACCATGTATGCAGTCAAAAGTCAAAGGTTTAGGGCAGAACTATTGGGTTATAATTGGGATACTTGGCCAAAAGGGGACCTTCAAGCTAGTCAAGGCCTGGGTCCTGCACCTCCTGCTTCCTCATTTTCTCTCTCCAGCAAAGCTGGCCTCCTTATTCTTCCTTGAAAGTACTAACCTTAGTCCCCAGACCATTCTATGTCTCACTGAACTTCCTCCTTTATATATCTGCAAAAGAAGTCTGTTTCTTGAAGACACTGTCCCAGGCCACCCTGCTAAAGCGGCTTCAACCCAATCCTGCCACACTCCATTCCTCCCCTAAATTCATCTTACAAACTCATCAGCCAGGACAGAAGATCTTGGCCATCCTGTTCACTGCTGTGTTCCCAACTCCTTGAACAGAGCTTACTGTGCGATGGGTGTGTGTGAAAGATGGCATGAATAATGACGTGAGGGACCTGGGCAAGCTTGTCCCTGCTGGGGCTCCCTGAAGATGTGGGACCACAGTCTGACCCCTGGGTTCCTTTACTTCCCAGGCTCAGGTGTTGTTCTTCCTTGTCATCATGGTCTCCTTTGCCAACTACGTGGTGGGAACACTGATCCCCCCATCTGAGGACAAGGCCTCCAAGGGCTTCTTCAGCTACCGGGGTACGTACATGTAGAGTGGACCCCAGACCACAGCTCTGGGGCAAAAACAGTTTGTCCAAAAATTCGGCCCATTTTGTGAGCAGCAGAAGGATGGGATACCCAATTCCCATGGCTGGGAGCTGCTTGGGAAGTTGACTGCCTGCCTGGCCAGGCCCAACTAGAGGGACCAGGCCCTCCAGGTGGCCCTGACCCAGGCCTTGGTTTTCCAGGGGACATTTTTGTCCAGAACTTGGTGCCCAGCTGGCGGGGTATCGATGGCAGCTTCTTTGGGATGTTCTCCATCTTCTTTCCCTCTGCCACTGGCATCTTGGCAGGAGCCAACATCTCCGGGGACCTCAAGGTGAGCAGAACACCTGTCCCCCCAGTGTCCTGGTGCTGCAGGGAGTTATGAGCACAGTCTTGTTCCCTGTCACACCAGGATCTGCTGCGGGACACTGAATGTAGGGCTGAAGCCAGAGAGGCCGTCAGAACTGATACCCAGTCCAGTCCAGTCCTTTGCAGCTCCCTTCAATCTAAATCAGTTTCATTGTGAGGCTGCTGACTGATTGATATCAGCTGTGCTCTGGCTCTTGCAGGGTACCTCAAAATGGGCTTCACAGAACTCTCAACCTCAGGGGAGCGCTGACCCTCACGTGACTTTCCAAACTGAGGCCTTGAGCGTGTACGTCTTTGCCAAGCTGACACCCTCGCACCACTCTCTATTGCCTTGACGCAGGCAGCTCCTTGTCTGGGCTGCAGTGCACCTGTCCAGCCCCAACCCTGAGCACTGTCCCTGTACCCATGACCCTTGCTCAGCCCCAAGATCTGTGCTTTACCCATGTCGCCCTCGTCCATTTGACTCTGCTACACTCTCCACCTGGGAATCCCTACCTTTGTTTCTTTGCCTCCCAAAGTTCTGTTTCAGTCTGCCAGGCTGTCCTCCAGTCATTGTTTTCTTAGCATAACGATCTCAACCCCGCTCTCTGTCTGTATTCTCAGCTTACAGCCTGATGACACAAGCGAGGTGCTCAGGATATTGTTGATCGGACAGCAGTGGTGAACTGTAGTGTCCTAGTTTCAGAGCAGAAGTGCAAAGAGCCATAAAACAGGATAGAAGGACAAGCTGATGTTGGCAGGGGCTGGGACAAAACTCCTGGGGGTGGAGCTGGGCTTTGAAAGATGAAAATTTCATTGAGCCTTTGCCAACAGGAGACTCTGAGGAGTCTGGAAATCACAGCTGCTTCTTCCTCCCACTCTCCTGGCCCACCCAGGAGGCACTCCTTGATGCTTTTTCTTAAATGGATTAAATTGTGAATTGGAGATAATCCCAAAGCCAGCCTGACTCTAACAGGATCTGCCCCAGGGCACATACTATAGAGCTTAGAAATCATAGCATTTGTCCCACTCACGTCCTTTCTCTGGGAATTGATCTGGATGCTTATTAAGCGTCTTCAGTTATCGTCAGCCCAGCGTGCAGGCATCATGCCTGGCAGCTCTTTCTGAGCTCACGAGCTAGGCATCTTTGCTGTCCTCAGTGTCCTCAGCCTTAAAGGGGTTGCTGGCCCTTGGCTCTGTGCGTCCTGAGGGACAGTGACTCTGCAGCAGAGTGGCTCCTTGTGTATGAGATGTTGGGCAACTCCTTCATGATCTCTCTAGGCCTCAACTTGCCCCACTGGACAATGGAACTCATATAGCCCCAGCCTTAGCAGGGCAGAGGATTCCAAGAGCTAAGATGTGTCAGGTGCTTAGAACAGTGCTGGGCATAGAGGCTGTGCTGAGAGCTTGTCATCATCATCACTGTTATTTGTACAATGACACAGACAAGTAAGTTTCTTAGTTATTTTTCTTATCACCGAGACACAATGCTCGACATCCAAAACTTAACAGAGGAGAGGTTTATTTTGGCTGTTTTTTTAGAAGTTTCAGTCTATGGTTGGCTGGCTCCAAAGAAGAAACAGTATGGCGAGGGGCACGGCAGAGGAAAAGCTGCTCACCTCATATCAGGCAGTATGCAGAGAGTGAAGGGAAGAGCCAGGAAGAGAGATGAACCCTTCGCGATTGTGTCTCCAGGGTCCTGCCTCTTCTGACTAGATCTCACCTCTCAATAGCAAACCAGCCATAAGCCCCTGGAATCCAATCACCTTCCAAAAACCATGCCTATGAGTGCATGAGGCTCTCTTGGGGGGCAACTAACTATCAACCCTAACACCAGCTAAGCCCGGAGAGGTTCCAGGGCTGAGCCAGTGCCACACAGATGGCAGAGCAACTAGAATGCAAGTCTATAGAGCAAAGGCTTCAGTTTAAATCACCAATGTATCCTACAACTATTTCATGTGTTGTCCCCAGGGATGTCCTTGTGGAGGACACTCCCACACAGGCTGAGGGCTGCTGTGTTCTTTCTTGCAAAGTACCATACTTTGGCTTAAGACAATAACAGTTTATTCTCTTGGGGTTTTGGAGTCTAGAAATCCAAAATCAAAGTACTGGCAGGACGGCACTCCCTCTGAAACCCCTAGAGACAAATGCTTCCTGGCCACACCTTGACTCTAGTGGATCCTGACAGTGGTGTCCCTGGGCTTTCAGCTCATCTCCTCTGCATTGCTGTGACCAAATAGTCTTTCCTTCACATCTCTGTGTCCTTCCTTTTTTTAGAACGACACCTGTGATTGCATTTGAGGCCCACTTAAGTCAGAATGACCTCATCTTATCTAATTGTACCTGCAAAATTCTTATCTCCAAATAGGATCATATCCTGAGGTTCTGGGTAGGCATACACTTGGGGAGACAATACTCAGCCCCCTGGAAGTGGGGTTGGCAAGCTGGCCTGGTCTGTGGGCCTCAGGGCCAGGGACTTGGGTGAATGACCTGGTCAAGCCATCCATCCCTAGGGGGTTGGGCAGGTCTGGTAGGACCAGGTCTGTGTGGTCCCCAAAACAGACTCCAGCAGACCTGGGGTTCCCCAGTACCCCAGCTTCCCACCACTCTGCATCTCTGCTCCCATTTTTCTCTGCTTGCCATTCTTTCCCTCACATTCCAACTTGTCTCTAACCAGGTTCTACTTGTTGGCTAGGTGGTAAGCAGAAACCTCCGGGAAAGCAGAGAAGGCGCAATAATAAATGGGCTGCTTACTGCAGAGATGGCCTCCTCTCCAGGTTGGAGCTTCCACCCAGAGGGTGGAGCCGGTCTTGAACTTGCTGTGAAGTTCCCAATCTTTTTTTCTGCTCCTGGATTGGCCTGTAGAGCCCAAGGCTGTGCACCACGGTGGCATCAGGATCTGAGCTACCACAGGCTCTGTGAAGAGGGTCCTCTTCACTGTGCCCTGCCCTCAGTTTCCCCACCAGCCAGTGGAGGCATTCAGGCTACTTCTCAAGAAATTACATTTGAGAAAATGCCTAGAAGAATGGACCATGTGACAGCTGTATGTGAAGATTTGCTATTGCTGTTAGGAAAATACAAGCAGAGAGTTCTTTCTCAGAGCTGAAGGAGGAAGCTTGGGGCTTGTCTTCCATTCCTATCTGTTTATCACTGTGGAATCAGAGAGCCAGTTGGTGCGTAATGACAAGCGTGTCATGAAGGGTGAGAGTAAACAGGTCTGGGGCCAAGAGCGTGCATGGATCTGTGCACTTCACCAGCAGCATGGTGGCACTGCTGTCACCACTCACAGATGAGGGCCAGAGGCTGGGAGATCAGCCCACAGTGCATCTGGTGGCCTGGATTGGAACCTAGGCAGGCTGAGCTCAGGACCCTGCCATCCTGGCCCTGGCTCTACCTCCCCCACAACAAGCTTTATCCATGTGTTCTCCCTGGCCTCAGTGAGGAGCTGCTGGTTTTCTCTTTCACTTCAGGCTCCCCGGGCCTCAGATGTGGTATCAGGCCTGGGATCTTGGTCATATTCACCTGCTTCTATGGGTCCTTGATGAAGGGAGCTGGAATGGGGCCAAGGCCAGGGGTGGGAGACCTAGAGTCTTCCTGACACCACTATCCCTCCTGCAGGACCCCGCTATAGCCATCCCCAAGGGAACTCTGATGGCCATTTTCTGGACCACCATCTCCTACCTGGCCATCTCAGCCACCATTGGTGAGTAGCCATCCTAGCTAACCAGGACAGGACAGGAACCTGGCTCCTACCCTGCAGAGTCCAGCAGCCCAGGCCCTGGAGGGGGTCCACAGGTGGGGCTTCACTTGAACTGGGACAGCTGGGCCAGGAGGATGTGGCAGCCTTGAACGCTGTCCCTGGGGTGACTGTCACCTTGGCATCTTCATAGTGAGGGAGGCCAGTCCAGGCTCCTACGGTCCCTTCAAATATTGAGGTTCTAGCTTCATGGGCATGAAGATCCTGCAGGATGAGTCATGCTCTGCCCCTAGGATAAGGTGATGAAGATGATGATAACATCAGCAGCTGCCTTACCATCGCCCCATCCTTAACATGGCTTGTGACACTTAATCCAGGCCCTGTCATTTCCCCCATTCTTCAAAGGAGAGATGGAGTGACCTTCCCAAGGTCACACCATCATTGAGCAGTAGATACAGGCTTTGAACTGAGGTCTGGGCTGGTAACACCTCCCTCAATCTGAGATGCTGAGAGGTGCCCTTGCTCCCAGTGACCACCTTTGAAGTAAGCTGTTCCCAGATGCCAAGGGACTTGGCTTTCCTCATGGCCACTAAGGTCTTGAAAGCCAGGTCTTGGCTTTATAGAAGGCACTGTGCAGGTTACTAAGCTCTGTGTGCCTCTACAGAATGGGAATGACACAAAAATAACAGCACTGCGGGCTTCCCAAGGTTGCTGTAAAGTACCCACCACGGTGCCTAGCACCCCACAAGCATACCTGGTATTAGCTATCACATCAGGGTTATTGTTCCATGATAAAGGAAGAATGTCTTGGCTTTATAGAAGGCACTGTGCAGGTTACTAAGCTCTGTGTGCCTCTACAGAATGGGAACGACAACAAAAATAACATCACTGCAGGCTTCCCAAGGTTGCTGTAAAGTACCCACCACGGTGCCTAGCATCCCACAAGCATACCTGGTATTAGCTATCACATCAGGATTATTGTTGCATGATAAAGGAAGAACCAAGCTGTCAGCAGCATCTCTCTCTCTCTCTCTCTCTCTCTCTGCAGTAGCAGACAGCATATTCTGGGAGTAGGAGAGGACAGAGCAAGGGGGTGAAGGGAGGAGGGCTAGGGAGATACCCACACCTTCTTCCTCTTCTCAGGCTCCTGTGTGGTCAGGGATGCCTCTGGAGACCTGAATGACACGGTGACCTCTGGCTGGGGTGCTTGTGAGGGGCTGGCCTGCAGTTATGGCTGGAACTTCACCAAGTGCTCCCAGCAGCACAGCTGCCGCTATGGCCTCATCAATTACTACCAGGTAGCAGGGCTTCTGCTCTTCAGGGCCTCCCAGAGCCGGGACATGCTGGGGTTACATAACTGGGGGAGCTGGGCTCTGGCTTGGAGAAAGGCTCTGAGCGCAGGTGGGGCTCCTGTGCCTGGTCTCTGTCTGTGAGAGGCAGCACCCATGTGAGGGTGTGGACTCTGTTGAAGGTGTCAGGACCCACTCCTGTGTGCAGTAGGTACTGGGGAGCTGGGAGGGCTCCATGGGCTCCTGTGCCTGGTCTCTGTCTGTGAGAGGCAGCACCCATGTGAGGGTGTGGACTCTGTTGGAGGTGTCAGGACCCACTCCTGCGTGCAGTAGGTACTGGGGAGCTGGGAGGGGCTCCCAGATCAGCCCTCACCATCCCCGCAGACCATGAGCATGGTGTCAGCCTTCGCACCCCTGATCACAGCTGGCATCTTCGGGGCCACCCTCTCTTCTGCCCTTGCCTGCCTCGTCTCAGCTGCCAAAGTTTTCCAGGTGAGGCCGCAGAAAGGGGCCATGGAAAAGGGGACCTAAGTTGGGAGGCCCAGGTGGTGGGTCCCCTGGTGACCGCTGAAAAGAAGGTCATGTAACAGGAGTGTCTAGATGGGAGGAAGCAGCCCCTCTTATGGGGTGACTGGAAGAACATCCCATCCCACGCCATGACCCTAGCAGTCTGTCCATAACTCCATCTCCAAGACAACTGCACCATGCGACTGACCCCTCTCACTGTGGCCTTGTCCTGTCTCCATGGTGATGAAGGTGGTGTGATCTTAACCTACTTAAAAGAACCAGAAATTGGAGCCTGTGCTGGGGAGTGCCCTGCTGCGGTCACAGAGGGGGCCGAGCAGGGGCCAGAGTCCAGATAGCCCCGGGAGGGGAGGTGGCAGGTCCCAGCCAGCAGTGAGCATGGTATTGGGTGCCCACAGTGCCTGTGTGAGGACCAGCTGTACCCGCTGATCGGCTTCTTCGGCAAGGGCTATGGCAAGAACAAGGAGCCTGTGCGAGGCTACTTGCTGGCCTACGCCATTGCTGTGGCCTTCATCATCATTGGTAAGAGGCTGCCAGACTCAGCAGGGTCACAGGCCCATTCTTCTCCTTCCTACTCAGCCAGCCTGGCCTGGCTTCAGTGGGCGCTCAGTGAGAAATGCTTTTAAAATATATATATATATAAAACCCAGGGCCTTACACATAAGTACATCCCCAGTAAAGAGCTCTGAGAAAAAGCCCTTCCTGGAAGGAGACTTTGGGAGGCCACACAAGGTTACCCCTCCTCCCTCTAGTTGTCTTTCCACACCATGCGGGCAGTGAGTGGACCATTCTGTTTTGGCAGAAGAGACCTTATTTGCTTTTGTGTTCCAGCGTCCTGGCAACTGGGAACCTCCCCTCACCCCTTATGTGTTTAAATGAACCCTCACGTCACCTTTGGAGCATGGGTCAGTCTGCTGGGTTCCTTCCCAGGGGCTGACAGAAATGGCTGGGTTGACCTTTGCGGGTGTATGAACTAAACAGCCAGCATCTCACCCCAAGGGAGGCGTGAGGATAAAAAGTCCAGCTGATCTGTTAGGCTTTGCCATGTGCCAGCCATGTGTCCTTGGACAAGCAATTTACTTCTCTGAGCCTCAGTTTCCTTCTCTGCGGAATGGGAGCAATAGTGCATAATGGGTGTGTCACAGGTGGGCAGGAAGAGACCACATGAGCACACACCCAGTATTGCCTCATTAACTTAGCCCAGAAAGCAGAGCTCACTGGGAGAGAAGTGGCCACACCAAGCAAGTGCAGTGGCCAGGCTGTGACACGACATCCCCTGTCCCTGCTATGGATTGGGGTGGGATAGGCTGCAGGTGAGCCTCTCTGATTCCCATCTTCCTGCCCCAGCCAGCCCCCTGCCACTCAGGCTGGCACCACCGGTCACCAGTCCATAACCCCCGCCTTACAGTAGGTCACTGTAGGCTGGGGGAGGCTTTCTGGACCCTGAGTCCTAGATCCTGAAGCCAATGAAGAGGTGGCAGGTGGAAAATCCCAGTCAGGTCTGGCATTCCCTGGACCAGTCTTTCTGGCGGACCGGGCTGTCTCCCTGTAGAGCACCCCAGCTTGGAGGTGTGTCCTTGGTCCTGGATGGCTCTGACTTGTACAGTCTGAGGACCACGGTCTCAGGTCTCTGGGGCCAGCTTCTCAGGGGAGCGAATGGAATCATGCAGAAGAGGTGCTTGTGCTGTTCAGGGATCCCAGAAGAGGCCACAGGACAAGGATTCACACTCCCAAGTTTGTCCGGGGGCCTGGGGTCGATGAGATGGTTAAGAGAAGGAGCCAGTCATCGTATCACCAAGTACTGTATGTTCCTTACTGGAATCTGTGGTCGGAGTTATCACAGCCACCGCTCAGTCCTCTTAGCCTGATGGGGTCCGCCCCATACTGCCTCCATCCTCTTGAAAGATGGCAGCTTACGGTTTACAAGACGTAGTCCTTTTGAACTTCACAACAGGATGGGCCAGTCCCACAGATGGGAAGGTTGAGACTCACTAAGCCCCGGGGCTTGCCCAGTGAGGGGCAGTGCCAGGCAGTTCCTTGGTGGGGTCGCCTGACAGGCTCCTCTTTCCTCCCTGCGTCACTGAAGCGGAGCTCAACACCATTGCCCCCATCATCTCCAACTTCTTCCTGTGCTCCTACGCCCTCATCAACTTCAGCTGCTTCCACGCCTCCATCACCAACTCCCCTGGTGAGCCAGCTCTTTGCCTTGCCACACACCTGGGGTCCGAGGTAAGGCGGGTGCTGGAAGCGGGAGGCGGCAGCCCAAGGTCACTCTCAAATGGAAACCACGCGAAGGGAACATCCAGGCACCACCAACAGCACTCTTCCTGCATTCATGTGCTCTCTGTAGTCTGCAGAGCTTCTTCTAGTCCTTTCCTCTGCTAGGAGTCAGGAGTCTGATTCACCCGAGGGGCAGGAGAATTTCCCAAAGTCACAGATCCAGTGGGGCAGGCTGCACACTGCACAGCTCTAGAGGGTACAATTCATATCACAGCGCACAAATTTCAGATTTGTATGTTAATGACGATAAATTTCTGGCAGGTGGCAGTAGAGAGACCTGAGGAAGGCTTTTTCTAATTAGCCCCAAATTATCAACAAGCTGGTAACCAGGCCTCCTTTAACACAGCCACATTGTGCACGGCACCCTCAGAGTTGTGCCATGGTGGGGAAGATGTCACTACTGGTGTGGGGCCAGGTAGAAACGTGCCATCTCCCCGCATCTCACCCCCTGGCTTCATGGGCACCATGAGCTGGCATTACTGCTGACCCGTGTTTTGCCAAAGCTGCAGGCTTCCCCCTTGGTGTGGCCTGTCACCATGGAGTAATGCAGCAGAGCAGGTGTGTGGAGCACCCCAGAGCCTCCAGGCCCAGCCCAAGAAGAAGTGGGCATGGCCCCTTCGGTCCTGGCTGGGGGCACAGCCTGGGGCCCCAGCCTGGGCATAGTGGGCATTGCCACGCAGCCCCGCCAGAGCTCTGGCCCCGAGGAGGCTCCCAAGTGCAGGGTGCATCCACTGATGGGGCCCCTGCCCAGGGTGGAGGCCCTCGTTCCAGTACTACAGCAAGTGGGCGGCGCTGTTTGGGGCAGTTGTCTCCGTGGTCATCATGTTCCTGCTGACCTGGTGGGCAGCCCTCATCGCCATTGGAGTCGTCCTCTTCCTCCTGCTCTATGTGATCTACAAGAAGCCAGGTGGGTGGGCTTAGCCACCAGTCCTGGTGGCCCAGTAGGCAGGTCCTACCCCAGCTCTTCCCAGGGCTCCCCACAGCCCCCCACCTCATCCCTCCTTGTGTGCCCAGTTGAAGCCCAGACCTCTGCAGATAGACCTCCCAGACCCCAGAAATGTCCAGTTTCAAGGGCCTGAGTCAGCCTGCAGGGCCAGCTTCCTACTCAGGCCTGAGAGGTGACTGATAGAAAGGCGGGAAGACAAAGCTTGGACAGTGCAGGAGTGTCCTGGGGTGGCAGCAACCTGTGGATGGGAAACAAAACTCCAAGACATCCTAGAATTCTACAGTGGATGTCCAGGTCATTGTGAAGGTCTGTTTGTCAAGGCAGGAGAATATTTTGTAGAGTTTAGGACCCCGATGTGTAACTTTGGATTATGTAGTCACAGGGTACTTGGGGCTCCAGCCCCACACACATTAGGGGCAGCGCTGAGGCTATCTACCCGCCTGGTGGCTTGCTGCCAAGGTACGAGGTGACCACAGAGGCACAACTGGCTTCTTCTTGTGACTCTGAGTCTTGCTCCCCATGACCCCCTTCCTTAGAGGTGAACTGGGGCTCCTCCGTGCAGGCCGGCTCCTACAACCTGGCCCTGAGCTACTCCATGGGCCTCAGTGAGGTGGAAGACCACATCAAGAATTACCGGTGAGCAGAGCTCAGGGCCCCCTGGGAGGCCTCCTGACCCAGGCTGGCCGGGCACTGCTGAGAGGGGCAGAGGTGGAGGGCCACCCCTCACGCTGCTGTAGGAGGCTGGGGTAGGCCTTGCCCAATGGGATTAAGTGAGGAAGGGAATCTCTCTGTGTCTCAGTTTCCACAGTAGAAGCTGCTCTGCTGTAAGGGGGATCTGGCGCTAATTCTCGTCACCGTAATCTTGGGAGGACAGCAGTGACAAACTTTCCCTGGAAATTGGGCTGGGGATTTAGCTCAGCGGTTCGGTGCCTGTCTTGCAAGCACAAGGACCTGAGTTCAATCCCCGTTACCAAAAAAAAAAACAAAAAACAAAAAACAAAACCTTCCTTGGGCCCTCTTCAAGCTGGTGTTGAGGAGAATCTTGTTCCTGCAGTCTCCTTCCCAGCAGAGTGTGAGGATAATAACCAGAGAGATCTCCACTTAGTGTGAGCCAGGCACTTCATAAAGATCCTTATGTGGACTCATGACAATCCCATGAGGCCCATAAAATGACTAACCCCACTCACAGATGAGGGCCCCGAGGCACAGGGAGGTTAATTACTGGCCCCTGGGGCCATAGATGCATTGAGTCTGGTTCTCATTGACTCTGGGAGTGGCCCTTGACCACTCCACACAAATGCTCACTCACCTGCCCAGGTGACACAGATAGGTGTCCTTACTATCAGTGTTTATTCTACATCATGCTGGGCTAGGCAGGGCAAAACAGAAGTGTTGGGTGGGGTGCTTGGTGGCTGAGCAGGAAGCACAAGGGAGACTCAGTATGGTGGCCATCATAAGAGCTGCAAGAGCCCTGAGTCGCAGCCAGAAAGATGAGTCCCAAAGTGTAAGTGTGCAGGTTCTTGCCTGAGCCCATACTGTGCTTCAGGGTGACCGAGAAGACCTGCTTTTAGCATCAGTGACTCTCCCACGACGGCTCACACCCTCTTCCCTTCTTCTCCTCAGCCCCCAATGCCTGGTGCTCACAGGGCCCCCCAACTTCCGCCCAGCCCTCGTGGACTTTGTAGGCACCTTCACCCAGAACCTGAGCCTCATGATCTGTGGCCACGTGCTCATTGTGAGTGACCCCAGGAGGTAGGGCCGGGCCATCCACATGCCTTGAGGAGCTGCCCCGATGTGATGTCTACCCAGGGGGTGGTGGCAGAGAAGGTCTGGGGCAAGCAGATCCCGGTCAGGTCCGCTATGAGCCCAGGTCTCTCCCTTCCAGGTCCTCTCCCTGGCTTCTCCCACTCTGCCCCACCACTCCCCTGTTCCTTTTATCTCCCTCCCTCCCTCCTTCTTTTCCTCCACTAACTCTGTGTAAAGAAAAATGGGTATATCCGGACAGGAGAGGGGCTGAGTCTCAGGCCAGAGATACAAGGCAGCCCCTGATGTCACCCGCTCCTGCCACCCACAGGGACCCCACAAGCAGAGGATGCCTGAGCTCCGACTCCTGGCCAGTGGGCACACCAAGTGGCTAAAGAAGAGGAAGGTCAAGGCCTTCTACTCAGATGTCATCGCTGAGGACCTCCGCAGCGGTGTTCAGACTCTTATGCAGGTATGGTGGGTCTGGGGGCTTCCCTGTGGGACGTATGACTTGGTGTGGCAACTGGAAAGCCAGAACATCTTCGGGGTCTAATTTCAGCTCCCTGTTGTGCACCAGGATGGAGTCCCCCCTTCTTTGCATTCCCACACATTCTTTGATGCCCAGGACTTGGGCAAGTGACATGGAAACCTGTGGGGCCTGTATGGCCTTGGCCAGTTCCCATTTTTGTTTTTATTTTTTCAGATATAACTTAATACAATAATGAAAAACCATGACTTGTATAGTGTGGTGGGTGTAGTTTTCTCATGTGTAAAATGAGGTACATGGATAAAATAATAATTAATTCTGAGGAAATACATGGGAATCTTTTTTAGTAGTTTTAGCTATTTCCCAAAATTAAAGTCATGGGGTTTAAGAATATTTTGGAAGTAAATAGAAGTGATAGTGTCGTGACTAGACTAAGCATTGTGAATTTATTAAATGCCCCTGCAATGTACACTTTGTTTTAATTTTACTCTTTGGATTGTACACTTTGAAATGGTCGATTTTGTTATGTGAATTTCACCTCAAAAAATTCTCAATATCTTAAAACAGTAAGAAAAGAGAAGCATAAAAGAAGTATGGACTAGATGGCCCAGGGACACACTAAGTTGGACATCCAAATTCAGGTCTCACGTTAACGAGAAATTATCTATGAGAGAAGCAGCAGCTGGGATGATTCAGTCCTGGGCCTGGCTGAGAGAAACCACAGGGGTCACCTTGGCCAAGGCTTCACGATGTCCAGGCAGACAGGACCTCAGGCAGATTGCCTGAGTCTCTGCAGCGTGGATGGAGGGTGGCGGGCTGTGCCTCACCCAGTCGCAGGTCAGAGCCCAGGTGGCCCTGCAGCCTGACTGCCAGCCCCATGCCTCCGAAAACCCCCCTCAATCCCACAGGCCACGGGTCTGGGGAGAATGAAGCCCAACATTCTGGTGGTGGGATTCAAGAAGAACTGGCAGTCTGCTCACCCGGCCACAGTGGAAGACTACATCGGCATCCTGCAGTGAGTCAGGCCCGGTGGGCAGCCTGGGATGAGGGGTTAGGCTACCAGAGTGTCCTGGGCCTGGGGAAATGTGGGAGCAGCGAGGGCTGTAAACTGAATCCACTTGTTCAAGGCTGAGGAAGAAAGAGGTGGAGGGCCTCCCTCCCTGACCCATGGGTCGTGGCACCAAGGTGGGCTGGGGCCAGGCAGGTAACACAGAGGGTGGATGGGTCTGGTGTGGGACAATATGGACTGGGGTACACTGAGGAAAGGAGCTGCTACTTGGCTCTGGCTGACTGTGCTATGCAGAAGTGTAGGCCCGATGTGGCTTGATTTTCAGAGTAGCTAAAAATGTGGGTTTTTAGGTGAAAATATTGGGCCCACCTTGGGCTTCACAAGGCTCCCAGGTAGCCAGTGTAAGAGTTCCCAGGGGTGCCCCTGAGCAGACAAGTAATACCAGGCTGCTGAGGACTGAGCTCCTGGGGAGTTCAGAGTTGGCTCCAAGTCCTGTTTTCTTCAGCTCTTTGCTGTGCCCAGTCCAGAGAAATCCTGGTTGTGTTGCTTTTCTGCACCCATGTTGCAGAGAGGCTGTGTGCAGCACCACTCAAGAATGCAAGGCTGACTGTGGAGGTCCTAGGCCTGCTTCTGGGTCTGCTGCTGACCCGCTATGAGACTCAGCCACTGTCCCAGCTGCCTCTAGCAAATTTCCTCGTGGAGGTAGTGGGAAACCTGGCCTCCAGTGCTGCTATTCCAAGACCGTCCAGAGATATGGGGTTAGTGGAGTCAGGAAGGACAGTGTTAGCCTGCTGGGTCAAACCTAATGGAGGGCTTGCAGCCACTGTGTCAATCAGGTAATCAGTACACTTCTCAGGCAGGAGTCTCCTAGACACCTCTTAGAACCAGTCTATTGCACAGGTGAGAGCATTCTTTGTAGAGATATGGGGTTAGTGGAGTCAGGAAGGACAGTGTTAGCCTGCTGGGTCAAACCTAATGGAGAGCTTGCAGCCACTGTGTCAATCAGGTAATCAGTACACTTCTCAGGCAGGAGTCTCTAGACACCTCTTAGAACCAGTCTATTGCACAGGCGAGAGCATTCTTTGTTAACTTTTGTTTTTATGAGACAGGGTCTTGCTATGTAATTCAGTTGACTTTGAACTTACTATGTAGCTCATGCTGGCCTTGAATTCACAGAGCTCCTCCTGCATCAGCCTCCTGAGTGCTGGAATTAGCTTTGTGTGCCACCACACCCAGTTTAGGGGTTAAGACATTGCTGTGTGCATGCATACCTGTTCTTTGATTTATAGTCTCAGCATATAATCCTAATCCCAGCTGGTCCCTTCCTTTATTGTATGATCATGGGCGAGTTACATCCTGAAACACAGTATTTGTGTCTGTAAATGGAGATAATAATGACCTTCCCCACCTTGGAGGGCAGAGTTATGAGGATTGTCCAAGTGTATCCGGAGGACAGGGCATGACCTGACACCAGGCATGACTTGGTTTTCCCCTGCAGGGCACTGCACTCCCGCATTCTGAGACCCAGAGGGAGAAAGTGTGATAAGGGTTAGGCCCACGATAGATGTTGGGCCTCTCAGGTGCGAGATCACCTCCCTTGTGGAAGCTGGGGCTGTAAGGAGCCTAACCCTGTCTGTGTTAGCTTTTCATTTTTAAGAAAAACAACTCAAAGGAGCAAAGTATGTTTTGACAAACCATTTTGTAGGTTTTAGTCCATGTGTGGCTGGTTCCATTCCTGTGGGCTGGAGGCCATCACAATTGAAGGGTGTAGTGGGACAGAGCCCCTCACCTCCCAGCAGCCAGGAAGCAGAGAGAGAAAGAATGGGCAGAACAAGATACGGTTCTCAAGGTCATGCCCCCTTGACCCACTCGCTCCAGCTAGGTTCACTTCCTATGCATCCGTTGCCTTCCAATGATGCCATCAGACTCTGATCTTGTCGCTGGTTCAGTCATCATCCAATCACCTTCCAAAAGCCCATCTCTGAACACACAAGGCTTCAGGGTGACATTTTTCTATCCAAAGCATAGCTCCACCTCCTCTTTCCAGTGATGCCTTTGATTTCAACTACGGCATGTGCATCATGAGGATGCGAGAGGGGCTCAACATCTCCGAGGTGCTGCAGGCGCACAGTGAGTACAGGACACACCTGCTCAGCACCCTGTCCAGAACCGGGGCAGGGTCCCAGGAAATTCTAGAATCCAATTTATTAAAGGAGGTAGATGAACGAGGCAGAAAAATTAGTAAGGAATAAAAACCACAGACACAAAGAGTCAGCCCTTAATGGTCCATGGAGTCCATCAGATTTCCAAGGGGAGGAATGAAGGCCCAGCGAGGAAGAACTAAGTGATCAGTTTAAGAACCTGTTTCCACCTGGGAAAGGAGACCTGGAACTCTGAACTCCCCAAGGTTTAGTCAATGCTTTTGTAACCAGGTAGGATAAAAAGGATCTAATAGAGAGAGAGAGAAAAAAGAAGAGGAAAGCAGAGGGGCTTGCTCATGTTAAGATGCCAGACTAGGAAGCCAGTTACCTAATTGTAGTCCAACTGGAACTTTCAGTCTTGAAGGCCATCTCTGGGGCTCTTAGGGACAGGGATGTTTTACATGTGAAATCATATCTGGCCATGCAAGGTCTGCGTTCATAATGATTAGAGGTGTAAAAGACGTAAAAAGCGTGAAGACAAACGGAGGCAGAGCTGGGAGACTGGCAGGTGAGACTGTGTCTCCTGCAGCCAGGGGCTGTTTCACCAAGGGCAGAGGCTGTGCCTGACCCATGGCAGTGGCCAGTAAATATTTATGCAATCAGTATTTACAAAGTCACTCACCATGCTGTTCTAGGCACCAGCAGCACAGCAGGGACCAAACAAAGCCTCTGCCTGGGGTGCTAATGTTCCAGGGAGCAAAGCAGATACAAACAAGTAGACACAATTATCTCAGATACTCTGGTGTTCTGAGGAGATGCACAGTGTAGTGGTCAAGGATGGTCTTTCTGAAGATGGGGCCATTTGCCGAGAGGGTGGAGGTGGGGAGAGATTGTTCCCAGCTCAGGGACATCTTGCACCATGGCCCAGCAGCGGGGCTCAGCGTGGCCTGATGGAGAGGCGGAAGGAGCCAGGGCAGAGGGAACCAAGGGAGGAGTGGAGACTTTCTTCCTGGTGTTGGGGGTGCCCTGCAGATGAAGAACCCAGAAGTGGCCCCAGGTGAGGGATACCTGCAAACCTGGCTGCCCCCTCTTTTGCAGTTAATCCTGTGTTTGATCCAGCAGAGGACAGCAAGGGAGCCAGTGCCTGTGGGGCCAGGCCATCTGTGTCTGGCACATGTCAGTCCCCACCCACTGAGAAGCTCAGGATGTTCCTGCCTTGTGGGGCTGCAAGTCTCCATGGGGACTTGGTCAAGGGCAAATCGTTTTTCCCAGTGACCAGTGGAGCCCAAATAACTGGATTGGATAGTTGGGAGGGGTCTTGGCCCTACTAAGATTGCCAGGCCTGGTGGGGAATGCGGGGCTCTGGGGCCCAAGTCCCTCCAACCAGGTCCCCTTTGGTTATGTTCGAATGTAAGGGTAGAGGAGTGGATGGTGCTCTCCTTCCTCCCACACCCTGGATCTGGGGAACCTGTGGCAGGGGTAGGGCATCCTCCAAAATCTGTGAATGGCACTGGGGGATCTTCCTGAGATGGAAGAGACTGTCTCCTGTTAACTGTTTATGCCAGAGGACATTGGATTTCTACCTACCTCCAGCACCCTGTGCCCCCAGAAGCCAAGGAGAGAGAAGCTGGAAGCAAGGGAGGCACATCTGGTAGCCCTGTGCATCCAGGACCCCTGTTCCTGACCACCTACCTGAGCATCTGTGTCTTGGCTGCAGAAGAAGCATTAGCCATGCTCTGGGCACTTCAGCTGCTGCATGTCCACTCTGCACAAAATGTGTCAAATCCACCTCCCAGGGCAGCTGGCTGTTTGAGGCAGGTTGGGGGAACTGAGGGTGCCAGCCGTGCTCTGACCTTCCTTTCCCTCTGGCAGTGGACCCTGAGGCTCTGGTGCAGGAGGAGCAGGCCAACACCATCTTCCAGTCAGAGCAGGGCAAGAAGACTATTGACATCTACTGGCTCTTTGACGATGGAGGTCAGCACCCAAGCCCAGACATGAGTTCTCTGCTCCCCCTGCATGTCTCTGCCCTTCCTGTTGCCTGCTTCCATCCAGGCTGCTAGTGAGCAAAGCAAGGCTCACAGCCCAGCAAAGGACATGGGGCCCCAATTCCCCCCACAGTGAAGTCAGGAAAGCCTGACTGGCCCCCACTCTCTGGCCTCTAGTTTTTCAGTTGTAAAATGTGGACCTCTGTGGGGATGCTGAGGCCAACATGAGTAGAACCTTCTGGCTAGATGTTCCGTAAGGGTCACAGATAGATGGCATGAATGGGGGACATGGGCCAGTGCACGGGGAAGTGGTGACATGTGCCTCGCTTTTCAGGAATACGTTCCCTCCTTGTTTTCTTAAAATATGGCTCTCAGCTTGCTTGTTCCTACTTTTGGTTAACTCCCACATAAAGAGAAAATGCCTGTGCTTCAGTAGAGCAAGACTGACCCTCCCTATCCAATGGGTTCTGCATTCACAGTTTCAACTCATCACAGAAAAAAAATTGTACTGAACACATGCACTTCTTGACATCATTCCCTGCACTATAGAGCACAGCAACTACTTACAGAGCATGTATACTGCAGCATTCTAAGATGATTTGAAGTAGGTGGGAGGATGTGGTAGGTTCTGTGCACATATTATGCCTTTTTATAAAAGAGCCTTGGGCACCTGTAGATTTTGGCATCCAAGGGGCAGGGGACCTGGATCCCATCTCCTGCAGGTACAGAAGGCTGACTGTGTTTTCTACGAATGACAGCTAAGAAGCTGAGCTCTTACTATGCATATGTGGGACACTGAGAACTCTATGTAGGTTAAGTCGGCGCCGTCAAGGAACCTGAGGCAGAGAGGATTATGCAGTGACACAGGGTGGCTGGCCCTTAGGGTCATGTGGAGAGATGACCGGGAGGGATGAGGGATCCTACCCCTTGGTCAGATATTCAGTTTTCAGGAATGGCCAGCAATCTAGAAATCCTTGTGCAATTCCCCCAGTATTTGATGCCAGCCTGTTTATTTAAATCACTGTGCTGGACAAGAAAATCCTGGCCCAGCAAGCATCAAGAGCAATGGAGTTTGAGTCACATGAGCTCTGATGCAGGCAGGGAAACTGAGGTCCCGAGAGGGGAAGGCATTTGCTGTGGCCTTGTGGAGTGGTAAACCCAGAGGGATCTGTCCTAAGCATTTTTTCTTGTTGGGATCCTCCTGGGGACCCTCCTTGCCAGGCCTTACCCTCCTCATCCCCTACCTCCTCCACCGCAAGAAGAGATGGGCCAAATGCAAGATCCGCGTGTTCGTCGGGGGCCAGATCAACAGACTGGACCAGGAGAGAAAGGCGTAAGTGAGGAGGCAGCCCAGGGCCACACGGCTGCCCTGTCTGGGCTCCCCCAAAGATGCCCCCTATCCTTTCTCCCCATCCTCCACCACCACCCTTGTGAGGCCCAGGAAATCTCCAAGCCCAGGAGAGTTCTCTCCAGTCACAGCAATGGTGCCTGGGGGCTCTGGGCAGGAGTAGGTTTCTCTCCATGTCAGAAATTTCTCTGACCTGCCCTTTAATAAGATGCAGATGTTCCAGTCTTTGCCACAACAGAGAGAGGTGTTAAATTTTAAAATCACAAAACTCTTCATGGAGAAATTTTGAGGATAGAGAGGCCCCTCCTATTGAGAAGCGAGGCAGGGGTTAGAGTCCTCCAAGGCAATGGCCCCGAAATGTGGGACACAGGCTGGGGGACACCAGAGGCACCTTGAGGGGCCAGGAGATGGGGCAGCAAATCTCATCAGATTTGGTGAGGAGTGACTTCATTCCCCTTCAGCATTGGCAAACTGTGTCAGAAGTTGCTCTGGGTTTAGTGTTGGCCTGTCCTTGCCCCCAGCGACCACACTAAGCTCTGTATGTAAGCAAGAGGAGCAGGCCTGGCTTGCAGGCTTGGCAGGTAATGGCACCCAGCCAGAATTTAGTGACACCAGTTTATTTCCGTGGATTTTTATTGCCACCTCTTTCTAGCAAGAGGTGCTCTTTTTTGCTTAAAATTGTAATATAAGATTTCCTTTTTTTGAAAGGTAGTTGGCATATTATTTTTTTCATTATGATAATGACAATGTCTGAGACAGTCTGCTTTCCACAGAAAAAAGGTTTATAATGGCTTAGGGGTTTGGAGGTGGACATCTAGGGCTGCATCTGCTGATGGTCTTCTTGCTGTCAGAATCCTGAGGCCACTGGAAGACAGGAAATACATGTGTCTGTGTCTGTCTGTCTGGTCTCTCTCCCTAGGCTTTTTATTTTATTTTTTAACTTTTTGCAGTCTGAGGATGGAACCGAGGACTATGCTTGTGCTAGGCAAGGAGTCTTCCATGCAGTTACATCCCCAGCCCTGTTTTTGTGTTAAAACAAGGTCTTGCTAAATGAACCAGACTGATCTTGAACTCTCCATCCCCCTGCCTCAGTCTCCCAAGTAGCTGGGATTGCAGGCATGTACCATCATGCTCAGCTCTCCCTCTTCTTAAAAGGCCACCAGGATTCTATCAAGGTGGAGCCACCCCAGTGACCTTCTCCAATCCCAATCGCCTCCTGAAGGCCCTACCGCTAATCACCGCAGCCAGATTCTGTTTCTACCCTCTTAATACCTCACACTGGGGATTAATTTCAGTGTGAGTTCAGGGAACAAACTGTATTCAAATCATAGCATTAAGTCAGAATGTGAGTTGATTTGAGTAGACAAGGAAGTAAACAGTGAGGCAGGTGGCACACAGGTGCAGTTGGCAGGAACTGTGAAGCGGCTGTTTTAGAGAAAGTTCAGGTCAGGTGGGAGGGGAGCCTGCTTGGACAGTAGGGCAGTTTTCCTACAGCCACACAGGTAATAGCTAACAAGAAGACTTCTGTGCAGTCTCTGTGCAGTGATCTTGGCCATGACACCTGGGCAGGAAACGAGGTGACCCGCAGCCAGCTTGGCCCTCCTACTATTCCAGGGTCACACCTCAGATCTGTGCCTATAGTCACTCCTGTATGGGCTCAGGGAGACCCAGCAGTCTGACTGTCCTCCTGCACTGAGAACTTCACCGTTGATAGGCCCGGAGCAGCTGCTAGGGGACCCCAGGACCAGCCTCTGTGACCCTCTGTGACTCTGTGCCCTGGTGTCAGCTTCCTGTCCCAGTTCTGGATGGCAGCTGGGTTCCCTGAGGTTGGCTTAGCATGAGGCTGTGACACTGCTCGGTAACAGCATATTCTTCGTGCCAAGGTTACCAAAACTCCTCAGCCACCAGCGCTTTCATGATGGGCCACATGCTCTGCTCTCTCCGTGACCCTGTGCCAGGCCCACACCACCACCGCATACCAGGATGAATCTGTCCACAGCTCTGCCTGCAGAATTTCACTACCCAAGTTCAGGAACCAGCCGTGGCTTGACAGCTGGGCCCTACCCTTGGAGCTTCAGGCTCTAGCCGTGGCTTGACAGCTGGGCCCTACCCTTGGAGCTTCAGGCTCACCTTCTCCCAGCATACTCCGTGCTGTCCCAGACAGCATTCCAGTGTCCCTGCTTTCCTCTGTCCCCAGTGCCTTTGCTCATTTGGATTCCTGCCCACCAGTGAGTCTGGAGGTCCTTAACCAGGAGGCACACCAGCACTATGTAGGGAGTTACCAAAGCCATGTCCCGCCTGGGGATCTGACTCAGTGAGTAGGCCGGGCCCAGGCAGGTTCATTATCCTGAGGGCCCCTTGGGTGATTTAATGTGGACGCTCCCTGTCCACCCACTCTGGCCTGTAAAGTCACGCCCACTATGTACCGTCCAGTTGCATCTCTAGCTCCTCTGTGAAGTCTTCCCTGACTGCCGCAGAGCACAGCAGTGCTGTGAAATGTACAGCCACTGCCATCTGGCCTGCTGCTCCTGCTGAGTTCTTGTGTGCTCTCTTTGCTTCCTTGGCCACTCTAATTTCCCTTTTTCAACTAACCCACCCCTTAGACCTTTGCTACTCAAAGTGCAGTCTGTGGTCCAGCAGCATTGCATCCTTAGATGTTAGATACGCAGTCCCAGGGCCCACCCAGGCCAGATGACTCAGAATCTGCACTGTGACAAGGTCTCCAGCAGCTTGAGATTCACTAGGATAGAGCTGTCACAAGACATTTGAGAAATTCTGGTCTAATGTTTTTCCACGTGACTTGTGGTCATCTGAACTAGTTGATTGGTATTCTTTATCGTCTGCTCCTACCCCTCTGTTGGAATGCCAAATGTGTTTTGTCCACTGCTAAACATTCAGTGGGTGCTTGATAAAACTAAGGGAATGAACATTTTTAGAAATGTCTGTCTTCTAGGATCATTTCTCTGTTGAGCAAGTTCCGACTGGGATTCCATGAAGTTCACATCCTTCCCGACATCAACCAGAAGCCGAGTGCTGAGCAGTGAGTTCTCTGTGTGGGGTTCAGGGCCAAAGGGCCACCTGCCTGCCCTGTGCGCCTTTCTGCCTGCAGCTGCCCTGGCTCCTTTGCCGATCCTCACACAAAGCAGACATGCTGTGTCTCAGGGCCTTGCACACTCAGTTCTGTTTGCTCCAGCACTGCCTGCCCCCTGATACACAGCTGGCTTCAGAAAGACTCCTCAGGTCCCAGAGAGCCCTTCTCATTCCTGTGACTTTCTGATCTATTCTGTTTACACCTTCATAAAACTCCCGCTTTATATTTGTTTGCCTATTTTCTTTTCACCCAGCAGACCATGAGCTCCTCGACAGTGGGGGTACAGCCTGCTTGTGTGGCTGTTGTGTGGCACACACAGTGCTAGTGACACCTGCTGAATGGAGTGGGTGATGTAGAGTCCAGCTCAGGTGCATGAAAGACTGTGGGGTTTGGTTTTGCACCAGATATAAGTGTTAGAGCCATGTGGAAGCCATGTTTACTTGGATGTAAACAACCATGTCAGATGGGTCTTAGTGAAAAATCCATCCCCTGGCACCACCTCCAGCTCCTTCCGGGGACCTGGTTCCTCTGGAGATGGGGACATCTCAGCCAGCCTCATCTCCTCTCTTGTTCCCAGCATTAAGCGGTTTGAGGACATGATTGCACCCTTCCGCCTAAATGATGGCTTCAAGGACGAGGCCACGGTTGCAGAGATGAGGCGAGACTGTCCCTGGAAGATCTCAGATGAAGAGGTCAACAAGAACAGAGTCAAGGTATAGGAGAAAAGCAAGCCTTGCAGGACTGGGGTTGGGGGGAGGGTGTCAGAGGATCTCCTAGGTCACAGCCATGTGTCCCTGGGGTCCTGAGTTTCCTGAGCCTACTTCTTTTGTGTGTGTGTGTGTGTGTGTGTGTGTGTGTGTGGTACTGGGGATCAAACTTTTGCTTGCAAGGTAGGTATGGTATCACTGAGCTAAATCTCCAGCCCCTACTTCCTTTTGAATCTTGCTTTCCCTTCCCTGCCTCGGTATCCTTAAGCCACAATTGCTAAGCTGGCAGGCAACCAGTGGTGGCACTCAATGCCATCCTTGGTGTGGGGGCCTAGTCGTCATCTCATCACTTTAAGTGGCCAGGTGGTGGGCATGGGCCACCTAAGTCTCCCCTTTCCTTTCCCATTTTCCTCTACCTGGAGGGAGGGATCTATGACCAGTATGACAGCGAAAGTGTAATTTTTCCCGTGGGTCAATGAAGCTGCCTGATCTACACAGCCTACACAGCCTGACCGGGACGCAGCCCAGTGCCCTGGCTGCCCACTTCTTAGACAGGTCGGGGCTTTGACAACAATATGGATGTACATAGCACAAGACCTTACAGTGGCCACTGTGGCTGTTTTAAGGTGAAGTAAATAGCTAGGAAGGCAGGGGCCGGGGTACAGATCTCGGTTCTGTTCTGTGTTCCAGGCAGGTCTCTACTGGGGGCAGTTTTGCCCCTCAAGGGACATTTGTGAGTCTTTGAAGATATTTTTGGGTGTCATAACTAGGGGACATGAGTTGCTCCTGTCATGTAGTGAGTGGGCACTGGGGATTCTGCTAAACATCCTGCCATACGCAGCAGAACAGCTTCCACAACAGACAGCTGTCTACCCAAAATGTGCTGGAGAGGGTGAGCGTAACTCACTTCCCTTCAGGTTTTTTGTTTGTTTGTTTGGTTTTGGTTTAGTTTTGTTGTTGTTCTGTTTTGTTTTTGGGTATTGGGGCTCAAACTTGGGCCTTTACGCTGGCAAGGCAGGTGGCAGAACCACTGAGCCAAATCCCCAGCCCAGTTTTTCATTCTCTTACAATGGGGTGTCCATTGATCCTGGGTGTCAAATCATTTCTTACTAGCTGGGACACCTAAATGTTTCCCTCCAACCCAGCCTCCCACAAGCTTTGGAGAATGCCCTGATCACTCAGTCAGGAGAACATTTTCAAGGGCTCACTGCCCAGCTGGCTTCTTTGAAAAATGCAAAGTGAGGATAGTATGCAAAGGAAGTTCTCTCACAGTCTGTCCCAGAGGAGATGGAGCTGTCCCTGCTCTGAGTCCCTGCTCTGTCTTCACACAGCACATCTTCCACATAACCAAGCCCCTTGCCTGGTGCTTTGACTTAGATCATCTCCTTTGATCCTCCTCACATCCCCCTGTGGAGGGCTTTATCATACCCTCTGGCTGAGGAAGACAGGAGGCTCGGGAGGCAACGCGAATTTGCTCAGTCAGGCTGACTGTGCTCTGAACTATCAGGGCCAACATTTGAATCAAGTAGAGAGCTCCCTCTTTCCACTTGCAAAACCAAGGTAGTCTTCTTGAAGGAGGTAAACTTGGTGCTCAGTTACCATGAGGTCTCCTTCCTCCCTGGGGGCAAGAGACGCTAGAATCCCTTGGGAGGAATAATTCCTGTATCCAGTTGGACGTGGCAGGCCATCCACTGCTAGCAAGGATGTGGGAAGTGACTTTTGGGCTTCCCCTTGCCCAGTCCCTTCGGCAGGTGAGGCTGAATGAGATTCTGCTGGATTACTCCCAGGATGCTGCCCTGGTTGTCATGTAAGTAGCACCTGGCTGTGGGGAGGACAAGCATGGCAGGTCGGGAAAGGAGCTCAGGAAACAGGACTGGCTGCAGCAAGGGATCCACAGCCCCTGCCACACAGCCTGGGTGGGTTCTCAGTATGCAGCAGGGCCTACGTCTCCCTGTGTCCCTTGGTTGAACACCAGCTGGCAGAGATCTAGTCTATCACGTGTCTCAGGCATGGCTGACTTCCTCTCCCTGCTGTTTGCTACCTTTACTTGCCAAACTTGGCTTGGCAGAGGTGGGACCCAGCTTACCCCAGAAGGAAATGCATTCCTGGTCATCTGGGAATTGCTCAGACCTCTCTGGGCATTAGCCACCCCAACTGATGTTGGTGCCAAGTCTGGAAAACAAGAACAGAGGATTCACTGAGTCCCCCTGTTCTATCGGCCCCATGCCCAGTTCCAAGCTGCCCCTGGCAGGTGTTAGCAGAGCTGAGCAAGTGGAAGGTGACAGTGGTGCATAGAGGGTCTTAGTGTGGCTCTGCACCCCCGGAGGCAGGAGGAAGCACCTGGTCAGTCAAGCCTCTGAGTCTACCACTCAGAGGGTGAAGAGTCTTTGCTGAAGCAAATAGCTGCCTTTCCTACATTTCCTGGGGGTCTAGTACCTGAGTATTCTGCAGGACAGCCAGGCAGCCTGCAGAGCCTGTTTGTGAAACTTCATAGCCAGGGCCAACAGCATAATTTGTATGGCTTTGTCCAACATGAACATGTGTAGCGCTGTGCTGTATCAGTAAAAATGTTAAGACATGGCCCTCCTTTAAAATAAGGCCAGCTCTTTCCCGTTCTCACTTGGATGTGTGGTGGTGGGAAAGAAAGGGGGTGGAAGTGGAACAGCAGAGCACAGACAGGCCACTGTCCCAATGGGTGATGTGGGTATGCAGGCTCAAGGTTATGATTTTCCACACTCGCTTGAATGGACCCATAAATCTTCAAAGTGTACTCTGCCATAGAGAGAAATCACACATGTGATACTCTGAGCAATTAGGGCTGCATGAAGCTTGCGTTTCTCTGGAGAGAAGGTGCTGACTTTGACACACATTACACTTGGGGGGTGTGCTCATGTAGAAGGGACCTGAGCCCTGGGCAGGACCCATGCCTGGCCATGTCACCATCTGACCTGCTCTGAAGAGGCCAGGATTTAAGGACACTGGATTCATGCCAAGAGGCCTCTAGGCAGGGAGCCACTGAGCAGACAGCTGGAAACTTCTCCTACCACTTCAGCTGCACAACTCTGTGCAGTTGCTCAAATCCCACCCCAGTGTTGCCAAGACTCTCTTTCAAGGGAGTGCTAGCATTGTTCCTTTTAAGCAAGGAAGTGCCCCTTTAAGAAGATCAAAATGGCAAATGGGTTCAAGCCAAAGAGACGCATAGGAAATTGACAGATGAAACCAGAGGGCTTTCATCCCCCTGGGCACTGCTGATAGGCAGGAGTTCAACAGCCAGCCTGAGACCTACTAGGGAGGCTTCTGCTCCATCAGTCTCATTTGCAAGGCCCATAAGGATTCAAAGGCTACCAGCAGGGCCTGGATTTAGCTCAGTGTTTCCCTCACCCGCCTTGTAAGCGCAAGGTCCAAAGTACCAAAAAAAAAAAAAAAAAAAAAAGACAAAAGGCCACCAGCAACAGTTACTCCACATTGACAAGATAGCAGTAGCTTTTTCCCCTTGCCAAATAGCAGAGTTTGGTCACCAGCAGAGTGTGTCAAGCTATTAGAAACATGCATGGATATATCGGGCAAGGTGGCACCTGCCTGAGGTCCCAGCTACTCAAGAGGCTGAGACAGGAGGATTACTTAAATCTAGGAATTCAAGGCCAATCTGGACAGCATAGTGAAACCCCCCAATGGGGAAGGAGGGAGGGAAGAAAAGGAGGGAAGAGTATACACCCATGTACTCTCTCAATCAGGGTTTAGGAATTGTGTCTTAGTCCATTCAGCCTGCTGTGACAAAATTCCATATGCTGGTGGGGGTTGGGGACTTATAAACAGCAAACAAATGTATTTCTCATGGTTCTCAAAACCCAGGATTAAAGTACCAACATATTCAGTATCTGTTGAGGGCCAGCTTTCTGGTTCATAGATGGTGCCTTCCTGCTGTGTCCTCACATAGTGGAAGGAGCCAGGGAGCTCTCTGGGGCCTCTCTTGTATGAGCACAAATTCTGTTCATATGGGCTCCACCCTCACAGCCTAATCACTCCCCACAGGCCCCACCTACTAAAACCTAATCACTTCCCACCGTCACCCTGGGGGTATGGATTGCAACCTTCAGTTTTGGGAGATGTACCATATTCAGAAAACAGCAAATGGTTGTGACTGATTTTGGTTCCTCCCAGCCATTCTGCACATGCAATAGGTTGTACGGGAACACTTAGGACTTCAGACACCCCGAGGGTCATGTCCCTTCAGCGGAGGAGTGGATGAGCACAGAAAGCTGACCACAGGCAGTTGCCAGTCTTTTCCTGGGACTCAGCATATCCCCTGACCCCAGATGTCCCCAGTGTCTGTGTTTGCTTTTCTGTAAGGAGAGCTCATTTTATGCATTGCTCAGACAGTGACATCATTTATAGTGCAGTCAGCTGAGCTGAACTTTCTCTTGCAGTGCTTTCCTGTGTCACTTAAGGTGTTGAAAAAAATGTCAAAGTGGTGACAACAGTGCATTAAGCCAAGGGTGACCCCTTCTGAGCACAGGTCCCATGTGGCTACTCCAGCAGTAGTTTGCTGATTCTGCTGTAACAATGGTTCCCAGGGTGTTCAAGGGAGATCATTTTTTTCTGCATGAAAGTGCTCCCTGTTTGCTTGATTTAAGAAGCATGACAAGAAAAGGCTGGCTTTAGCTCCCCACCTCTGACCAACACCCGGCAGAGAATGTTCTAGGGTAAGGTTGGTCCCAGATATGGATGGGGTCAGAATGTGACAGCAGTTCCATCCTGTCTGGTGGCTCCAGGCTTCTTGGGTGGGGAGCCTGGCACATATGCCCTTCGGTGTACACTTGTGTGCCAATCACATGAACTCCGCCTCTGTTCATAGAAACAGGTTTTTGTTTTGTTTCTGCTGTTAGGTCACTGTGTGTTCTTGGATAAGTGACCTCGTGTCTCTCCAGCCTTGGTTTCACTAATGATCAAAAATGTTACACTGAAGTATTCCCAAGGTTCTCTTTCATGCTAACATGTTGTGGTTCTAAGTTTATTTGCCATTAAAATGAGTCCGCCTTTCAGGCCATGAGATGAAGAATTTGGGCCTGAGAAATGGCCCCTTGGGGGCTCCTCTCCCTCCCTCTGTCCTCTACCCCAGGACTTCACAGGAAGACTGTGGGATTAGATGATACAAGTAACTATGCATCCCATCACCACGGAGAAGATGACGGCACACACCCACCCCACCCCACCCCATCCCATCCCACACTGGCAGCCACAGCTGTTGCCCAAATGGGCCCTGGCGCTAGGGCCAAGTCCCTGGGGAAACCAGAGCAGCTGCACTGTGTGTGTTCCTAATCTCCATGCTGGAGACACACCTGGTTTCTCTGAAAGTGTGGTCAGAAGTTCACTTCCTCAGAACCACCATGTGGAAAACACATATTCCTTAGTCCCTTCCAGACCAGGGGCCGGTGGAGCACAGAACCCTAAATTCACTGGAAATCCTGAGAACAAAAAGCATCTCTTGTTTGGCCTTGGTGCATTGTCAAAGTCACTGGCTCCCATTTTGGAGAGCCCACTGGGGCCATTTTTGAAAAGAGCTGGTTTGGGATTGTTTACCAATGTCTACTAATCGGCAGTTTATCTGATTAATGATTAACACCTTTTTCCCCAACAACCATTGTTTGACTCAGCTATATCCAGGACAGCTGGTAAACCTGCCTAGTAAACAGCCTAACATACTTTGACTTCACTAACAACTTATCCTGTTGGGAGCAGAAATCTCTTTGTCTCTAATGACTCCTCCTCAAAGCCCAATAGTAATAACCAAAATAGTGATCATCAATTTTGCATTTTATGAATTTGGCCTTGTTAGTTTTCAAAACTTTATTTGAATCACCCTTTGCATCCCCCTGCTAGGGATGAGGAAACCCCTTCAAGAGTCAGCTGCTGGCCCAGGACCTCACAGATGGGAAGTGGGACTGGGTTCTGTTGCAGTTTTCACTCCTAATCGAGATTAGAGCCAGGGCTGTCTCTCTTTGTAGTCAGAAGCAATTCTGAACAAGTCCCTTTGTTCTGGGGTAGCTTTATTGTAAGGATTAGTAGCTGAAGGCTGAAGCATCCTGTGCTCAGGAATGCCACGTGTCATTGATTAGAACTGCAGCCAGTTAAAGGCAGCTGTCCCTTGGACAGGTGGACCGGTTCTCTTCCGGGAGGGAACTACATAGGGAAGCTTGAAAATGGCCACAGGCATGTCCTGCCCTGACCCTGATCAGGCAAGCACCTGTTCCCTGGTGGCCTTTGAAGTTTGTGAATTCAGTCCCTGAAATGTAGTATTTCCCAGACCACACAGCTTTCAGCCTCTGACATATCTACATCTGGAGAGTTTGGGTTTATCATTCTCCTGTCTCTTTTTTGTGGAAAGTCACTAAACCCAACTGAACTAAGATAACAGTAGCTCAGAGAAGCCTTTGTCCCCACCCACCTTTCCTAACCCGTGGGACCCTGCTGTTCGAAAGGAGCCTGCTGGTTGTCCCAAGTAAAGCTTTGTGATGGCGTTTGAAGTATGAGGCAGCTGTTCAGGGTCCCAGCTGCCCTCTCCAGCCAGTGGGATTGCGGTGAGTGGAGGCAGCTGGTGGGAAGATCTGAAGACCTTGGTTGAGTCTCCCTGCCCCAGCCCACATGATCATCTCCAGCTGGTAAATAAGCAGCAGCAATGGCTGCTATGAGGGGAGTACATCCCACTGCCAAGCATGGCACTGTGCCCGGTGTGCACTCTGTCTTCTTCAGAGCCCACAAACATCCCAGATGGTAGTATCTGGGTCATTTGAAGGGAGAAGCTGAGGCTCAGGGGCACTCTGGCCCTTGTCCAAAGCCACAGCAGAGGCAGCCTCTCCAAGGCCAGAGCCTGAACTCTGGACCTCAGAGTATGGCACTGCATCCTCTGCCTGTCTGTATGCCAGGGCTGTGTGGAGGGCCAGGGGAAGATAGTGGCTGTGGTTGTGCTTTAGAGAAGGCAAATGAATGGCAAGGGTGTCCCAGGTAAGGCACCGCTATCCAGACTTCACATAGTTCCCTCTGGGGCTGTGAGGCATTGCCTCCTCCAGGACCAAGAGCCAGGCAGCTGCAGCCATCCTGATGCATTTTTGGAATTTTTGATGATAGAAAAGTTACTTCCTGAAATAGTTGGGAAAATACGACCAAGCAGCATTTGTAGAGCATCTTGTTATTTGCAGTGTTGTGCAGTTTGGATAGGGGGCCTTCAGAGACCACACTGGGGTCTGCTCCCTGGGCTGACACAGGGTAGGGGTGGGACAAGGATGCTCTGCTGAATCACATTGCTGTGGCCACAGGCAGATGCATGGCTAATGGGGTGGGATCTCCCACTTAACAAATACACCCTGAGTCTGAATGCATCACAGTGTGTGCTCCTGAGCGAGCATGAATTCCCATGGCAGGCAGGGGGTGGGAATAGATACCTCCAAGGATATTTCTGAGGTTGCAAAGGACAATAAAGCAAGGGGCTAGAATAAAGAGGCATAAGTGGCCTCCTTTGGAAAAAGCAATCAAAGGAGATGCACTTGAGCAGGGACTTTAAAGGAGCCAGCCAGATGGAGAGCTGTGAGTACCACCTTCTAGGTGAGGCAGGAACAAGCTTGGTATTTATTTTAGGGAAGGAAAGAAAGCCACTGTAGCTGTAGGACTGTGAGCAAGCCTGAGGGCAGGAGGAAGTTGTGGGTGTCAGTGGGGGGCATGCAGGCCATGGCTTTATTTAGAGACGCTTCCTGGCAGAAGGTACATTCTCAAGCTCTGAACCGGAGCAGGGAGGTCTCTCTTGGGGTGGGTGGGAAGGAGGGGCTCTGAAGGGGACTATAAACTGACTTGCTATTCAGAAACAAAGCCTGAGCGGGGCTGCATGGGAAGACCCCAGGTAATTCCTCTGTGCCCCTTCTGCCTGGCAGCACCTTGCCCATAGGGAGGAAGGGGAAGTCCCCCAGCTCCCTGTACATGGCCTGGCTGGAGACCCTGTCCCAGGACCTCAGACCTCCAGTCATCCTGATCCGAGGGAACCAGGAAAACGTGCTCACCTTTTACTGCCAGTAACTCCAGGTGTGACCATCCCTGCCCAAAGCCGAGGGTGTGTGGCACAAGTTGGAACTCGACCGGCTCCGGTCTTAGGGACAACCTCACATTCTGTTGTGCGTGAAGTTATAGCAGCTGATGATCCAATTGCAAGAAATGATAGATTTCCAGACTTTGGCTGGACTCCACTTCCAATGGACATATCCTCTGGGCCTTCTATTTACGGGATGGAGGAGGAGGAGCAGATGAAGTTGCATGGAAAATTCTCTGGAAGATCCTATCTGTTTAAGTGTTTGCTTTTGATCTTGATGACTATTAATTAAGATTTCAGTCTTTGATTTATGTGTAAATTGTGCTGGGTGTCATCTGGCAATTTCTAAAGACCTTCCCTGATCAAAGTCCCTCCCAAGCCCTGCCTCCTTGCTCCAACAGTCAGGAGGGTGGGGAGGCCACCTCAGGACCTGTGGGAGCACCAAAGGCCACACAGGTCCTTGAGCAAGAAAAATATGTACATCTCTTCAGACACTTCTCACTCCTGTCACATTTAACACTGGTTCTTTGGTGTCTCCATCAGACCAGGGACTTTCGAACTTCTCTGGGTGCAACTCACAGTGAGAAATATCATTTTACATTGAAACTTGGAATGAACACACAACACACACACATACACACACACACACACACAAGTGACTGAACCAAGTTTCATCTTACTCTGGGTGATGTTCTCCAGTATTTTCTGTTTCCTTGTTGTTAAAAAAAATTAATGTTGGTTATAATCCATTAAAATTATTTTGGACCCACTAGTGGGTGGTGAAAAACAGGCTAGACTTTCCTTTGTGCCCTGTGTTTGTCAGGGGTGGGGCTGACTTGGGGGAGGCCACCACAAGATATCGCTGCTCTTTCCCAGCTCAGCCCACAGAAGGAAACCAACAAAACCTGAGGAAGAGAACTGGTGAAGGTTGGTGAGAGAGAAAGTGAGGAAGAGGCAAGATTTCAGGAATCTAGAGGAAGGTTATCCTGTACTCTACCCTGTATGTGTAGTTAACCCTGCAGGCACCAAGGGTCAGGTTAGCCCTTAATGATATGTAAGAATTTGTATCTCTCAGATCAGCTGCAACCTCCAAAGGGTTAAGGATGGGGACAAGTTATGGGAAAGGAGAGGCAAAGAGGGACATGACAATGGTGAGGTTGGCAAAGGATCAGAAAGGAAGGAACTGCTCCCAGCCCATCCTGGGGCCATGTGAAAGAGACAGAAGGCAGCAGACGGGACTGGGTGGATGAGCTGGGGTCAGAGGTAGGGGACAAGCTGGACTAATGGAGGTGGAGAAAGGACTTGTGCCTGGCTCAGGGAAGGGTGTCTGGGTTACCCATATGTTGGCACCCACAAAGCTAGGGTGCAAGAGTGGAAGGCACATTGAGCAGATGAGACTAAATGAAAGGGCATTTGACTCTACAGACATAAATAGAAGGAATAAATTTGAGTTGTTTAGTGATGTGGCTGGCTGTGCCTTCTAATTCCACTAGGGTGTCTGAAGGAACAGAGTACTTTGGGAGGTTTTGGCTTCCTCTAAGACCCTTTAGTCATGAAAGCTGTCTCCTTCTTGAGTTTAGAACCTGAAGGGCTTAAGCATTTCTCAGGTCTTCGAAGTCTAAAGGCCCTGCCTGGGCTCCCATGATGTCATAAAGGACCCACTATTCTCAAAATGCTTGCTGGGCTTGCTGAGCGTCACAGAAGATGGGCCAAATTTAACCAGGCATAGCTGCTCTGCTGCCCAAGTGCAGCTGAGCTGTGCAGCTGGCCCCTGGCCCCATCCTCCACCCCGAGATCCTGCAAAGCCTCACTGGAGGATGCTTGCCTTTGAAGAGTCACATGGAACCGATTTCCTAGCAAATGGGGGCTGCCTCTTCAGGCCCCGGGGCAGTGGTGGCCAACCTCTGGCATTTGTGCCATAGTGGGCTGGTTGTTATCGCCAAAAGCTCTAAAAGGTTCACCATCACTGGGCTACAGAGTCCCTAGTCCAAGAATAGAGAAATTTTTGGTTTTGGGTGTTAAGAAAAATGGTGAAAGTCCAAAAAAGCAAATAAAAGCCACTCAGTCAGAGCTTATTTGTCTTGGAGCATACTGTTCTTCAACTCTGCTATATTCTTTGAAAAATTAACTATTGCTTTTGCAACCCTGGTTTGAACTTTTCTCCTGATTCTGGAGGTCATGTTGTCAGGTTTCTACATGAATATTTATAGTAGCCACTTATTTCTTCTTTGCTTCTCTTACATGCATTTACAGACTTGCAGGAGCCCATTTCCCTCAGGCTTTATGGAAGTGTCCCAGCATGTTGGATTTTGCCACAAATCAACAGGTAGAGAGATTGAACACAAAAAGCCATGATGTAGCCACCAGGAAACTTGGATATGGTTTTCTGTCTCTCTCCAAAATTGGCTGTGTGACTTCAGATACCTTAACCTCTCTGGGCCTCAGTCTGTGAATAGATGCGCAGACCAGGACAGGCATCACCAGCCAGTTAGACCACCAGTGACTGGCTTGGCCCATGCATGGTTGACCAAAATTGTGAATGTAGCAGGGGATGGGGAAATGGGGCAAGGGTACACATTCTTCAGTCCGTCTCACCTCTTCCTGCCATCTTGCTGCGGGAGCTTTGCAGCAGGGATCTCCCAACCCTTCTAAGGCACTGTGTGGCCTGTTGGGCAGCAAGAGGGAAAGAGATTCAATCTGTACCGCACCTCCCCCTGCCTCTGGATGACCACATGCTTCACAGTATTGAGTTTTAGGAGTGGGAAGAGTCCTCTCTTTTGCTGTACATGGAAACCTGGCCTTCACAGAGGTGGGCCCTCAGAGCCAGAGCCAGGTCCCTGCCAATAGCCACAGTGGCCACTGCAGCAGGGGCTCTCGCTTCCCTCCCCTGGGATCTTCTGTCCTGTTAGTTGGCTCCCAGTTTCCCCTTGGTATTTCAGCTTCCTAACTTAGTAACTTCCTTCAGCTCCTGCCCGGACTTGTTGCAGCTTCCAAGTAAGTACCATGTGGCCCATTTTCCACCTAGTAGCTTGCTGAGCTCCACTTTCTTGGGCACAAAGTGGGGCCTCATTAGCACATGGAGAGTCCCAGTTCGGGTCAACTTCCCTTTTAGACACCTGCCTGGCCTCTCTAGCATGGCCAAGGAGAGGTGGGTTTCACAGAGATGAACCCAGATGGAAAGTTCCAGAAGAACCACCTGGCTGGAAGGCCCCCAAACCCCATGCAAAGTAGCCAGGTTTCGATTGTAACTGTGTCCAGCTCAGGTTGTCAGAACAATGTGCTGGCAGCTTCAAGAATATTCACAGAATGGGGCCCAGGAAAGCCCAGTCCCTGGCTCTGTTGGTGATTTTCCTGGTTGCAGAGAGGTTTAATCCTATGACAGAAAACACGAGCACAGCTCAGTACCTGCTTCCTGAAAGGCAGCCATAACCAATTCTGCTTCTAAAATACTTGGGGAGAACCACCTAGCCGGGAGGCCAGAGAGCAGAGTGTCTTATGGAGGAAAGGCCATGGCAAAGAAAGGACAAGTGCTTTTTGTTATTGTTGTTTGTTTGTTTGTTTTGGTTTTGGTATTGAGGTTTGAACCCAGCACCTTCATACTAAACAACACTCTCAGATCTTTTTAAATATTTTTTATTTAGAGACAGGGCCTCATTAAATTGCTAAATTGCCTAGGCCAAGCTCAAACTTGAGCTACTCCCACCTCAGCTTTCCGGAGTACTGGGATTACAAGCATGCACTATAATGCCCAGCTAGGACAAGTATTTTCTATTCCAGCTCATAAGAGCTGTAAATAAAATGTTCTGAGATTGTAAAACATACAAAGTCAAGGGGAGTAGGAAATCTCTGTGGAGAAAATGGCATTTGAAAGAGATTTGAAAGAGGCAGGATGCAGAAAGACAGAAATGAGATCTGGGGTTGAAAGAAAGCATTCTAGGTGGTGGGAATAGCTTGAGCAAAGAAGTGAGGGCAGCTCTAGGTGTGCTGGGAAAACAGAAATAAGCCAGTTCTGCGGCAGTACGAGGAGTTTGTACATGGGGAAATAAAACTGGGAATGTCAGAATGAAGACGGATCAGCTGGGAGGCTGAGGAGCTCCCAGGTGATCCAGAGGTGCTAACTGCCCAAGGGATAGGGGCAGGTCCCTTCCAGATAGGAAGCTTGGTTGGCCAGAGGTGGAGGAGATAGAAAGAGAAAAAGCAGGAAGGTGCTATGCAGAATTCCGAAAGTGAGTCGGCAAGGCTCAACACTGAGAGGCAGATGGACTACAAAAGAGGGAAGCTATGAGGGGAGTTGGAAGACAGAATCCTCCAGAATTGTCTGGATGGATGGATGGATGGATGGATGGAGACAGGGCCCCAGAAGTTGAGCCCAAGCAGTTGTAAGAATGAAGAAACTATGACTGTACTATGAGGGTGGGGCAGGACAACAGGGTTAATGCCGGAGAGAGAGTAGTACATACATAGGCTTGGGTTTGTTTCTTTACACGAGTCCATCCAGGTGGTCGTGGAGCTAGGGAAGAAGTGAGGCTGGTCCACTGTCAGCCAGAGATATTTTCAGAGTGATGACCACAAATAAATTGAGAGTTAGGCTCATGATCAGGGATATGAAGCCAGCACTTACTAGAAACAAAGAAAGAAAGCACAGGTGACAGAGAACATTGAGGCTGGGCCCTGGGAAGAGCTGTATTTCGGGGGCTTGGAGAGAAGAAGCAGCCATTCGAGTAGCCTTACAAAGCACACTAGAGGGATGGCAGGGGGAAGGGGTCCAGATCACTAAGAAGCCACCAGAGAAAGGGTCAAGGAAGAATGGAGTAGCCTCCACAGAAGCTCCACATGGCTGAAGCCACAGGAAATGCTGCTGAGTTTAGCATTCTGAGCATCACCTGAGAGCCTTGCAGGGACTAGGTAAAGTGGTGAGTGAGGAACCAGGGACTGAGGAAGGAAGGGTGTGGGGAAGGAAATGGAAGCCATACTTAAGGACCTTGTTTCTGAGTACACCAGCAATGAAGAGACTGCAGAAAGTAAGGAGGAAATTTGAGAGAGTTTTTACGTTCAAGAGAAGGTATTTTCATTGTTGTATTTTGTTTTGTTCCTTTAAAAAAATTCATGAAGTTTATTGGTACATTTTAGGTATACAGCATGGGTGACATTCATCTTTGGGAATTTGTACCTTTGCATGATCTATCTTGGTTCTTATTTTTTCCCCCTTCTCCTGCCCTCCCTTCAACCCCTTTACTCCTTATTTACAAAAACTTTGTTTTTGTTTTTTCCTTTTCTCATTTTTTTTTTTTTAGGGAGTGTTTTAGTCAGGATGATGTTAGGTTATGCTGCAGTAACCAATTACCCTTTAAGTTTTTGTGACTTTCAGGACAAAGATCTATTTATCTTTTATAAATATGACTATGATAGTCAGGCAGCTCATTATGGGCTGATCATCAAAACTGCTCCCATTTTGTGAGGCCACCACCTCAGACAGGAGCTTCCAGACTTTTGGAGAAGGGAAAAGAGAGCTGGAGAGTCATGCACTGGATTTCAAATATTTCAGCCCAGAAGTGATGCATTTCTTCTCAAAGCCCATTAGCCGAGTATATTTCATGGCTCCACCTAACTGCAAGGGTAGGTACCAGAAAATTTTGGGAGGAACAAATGAATATTCATGGAGCAATAAATGTCTTTGCTACTTGGTAGAGTTGAGTAACAGAGACTAGAATGTAATTATAGTCAGAAGAGAAAGGTTTAAAATGCAAAAGAAGAGAATATAGAAGAGGTAGGACGACGAATAAAGGAAGGGGTA